TAATTATTTTACCTTAATGAATGCTCAAGAATTCCCGATTGTGTTTATGAAAATGCTTTTCTACTGGAGGATTCTGAGAAAAGGGATAAAAAATTTGGGTCACCAAAAAGTATGCAGAGAAAAAATCGTCGTTCCTTGCTATGAAAGTAGGCATAAAATCTTGAAAACGTATGGGAAATCAAAGTTTTAATCCAGCATCCCTTACAAAAAAACTTTTAACTGTCTTCAAACATTTTTCTGAATTAAAAAAATTTTTTTTTTTCATATGTTATTAGAGTTGTACAGTTTTTAATCGCCCATCCTTCAAAGTAATACATTCAAAGTTTGCTTTAAAATTACTCATACAACACGTATAAAAGTTTAAATTTGGTCGAAAAAAATCGTTCTCCCATTTCAAGTCTTGTCAAATTATGAATTTTCCTGGCATAATTGGTTAAAATAAGTGAGAGAGAAAAAACATTAAGATCATCTACACACAAAAAAAAACTTGGTAAAATCAACTGTAATAACACTGGTCGACAAAAAAAAAGCCCAAGAATAAAAGCTACCAAACCTGAAAGGATTTTAGCTGTAGATTACTACCTCATACTTGGAAACTTTCCATCACGTCGAAGTTTTGAGAAATCCGTGGTCAAAGTTCCAAATTTTCGATTTTTAGGCACTTTTTGCGACTTAATAGTAAGAAAACCCTTCGTAGCCCAGAGCCACAATTTAGCGGAAAAGGTACTTTGAACCTTTAACTTCAAGATTGTCCAATCACAAAGTTGGGCGATCTCCACTTCTTTAGCTACAATGGATTTTACAGAAGTACTTTTTGTCACTTTTTTTCATCTATAGTATCCATGGTTATGAGAGTTCTTAAGAACTCGCTGTCCATCGAGGATCATTTTTACGCGGTTGTGAGGACTAGTTCCCTATAATACCAATTACTCAGATGTTTGGAATTTTAAATTAGTCTTATTTTGACAAAAAAGGAAAAGGGTACATATATACATATATGATTTTTATAGCAAACGTTAGAAAAGCACCCTTGTTTTTTATAGCAAACCCGGGAACTTTGAAATTCAATTACAAGAGAACCATGGCCGACCGCCAAATTCTTTTTGCACGTAAATTCTTAAGAAATCGCGGTCCATCGAGGATAATTTTTTCGCGAATTTCGGGGGTGAGCCCGCTAATGTATAGTATTACCCAAAAATCTTTTAACTGTCTTTAAACATTTTTCTGAATTAAAAAAAACATTTTCTGTACATATGTTATTAGAGTTGTACTGTTTTTAATCGCCCATCCTTCAAAGTAATACATTCAAAGTTTGCTTAAAATTACTCATATAACACATATAAAAGTTCAAATTTGTTCGAAAAAATCATTCTCCCATTTCTAGTCTTGTCAAATTATGAATTTTTCTAGCAAAATTTGATAAAAAAGGAAGAGAAAACAAGAAAGGAAGCTACCTTCGGCCAGCCGAAGCTTATATACCCTTGCAGATAAAGTAATGCTCACTCGGTGCAGTTCCAGGGATTCCAGATTCAGCGTTTCTATTTTTGAATTTTGTTTTTAAAGAGTCAAGAATTAAAACGCCTACTTCCTACAAAGTAACAATAAATTTTCTTATATATCTTTGAATATTCCTATGGGTACCTTAAGATATAGTGGTCCGATTCGGCTCGCTCCGACATATGTACTACCTGCAATAGAAAGAAGACTTTCGGGAAAGTTTCGTTGCGATAGCTTTAAAACTGAGAGACTAGTTCGCATAAAAACGGACAGACGGACAGACGGACATGGCTAGATAGACTCGGCTATTGGTGCTGGATCAAGAATATATATACTTTATGTGGTCGGAAACGTCTCCTTCACTGCGTTGCAAACATCTGACTAAAATTATAATACCCTCTACAAGGGTATAATAAAGATCATCTAGATTAAAAACATGTTTTGATCAAAGACAACAGTGCGTATGAGTGATAAACTTTGAAGCCAATTTGCAGACCCTAGAACTCGTTTTTTTTTCAAAAATGTATTTTGGTAAACCTTAAATTCCTCAATGCGCACGTTATAGGCGGGTACGAGTAGGACCTTAAACATTTTTATATAAATGTGGACCGCCCCTTGGCCCAACTAAATGTTTTCCGAAGTTGAACTGATGTTTCACTAAGAAAATGTTTTGGCTATATCTTCCTAATTTTTAAATAAAATGATTTTGAGTGCATATTAATGTGGTGTGATTTTTTAAGCGGCTATTTATTGAAAAAACAAATGGGTACAAAAGTGAGGTTTGAAAGGAAATCTTTGATGGCTCCATTACACAAAAAATATACAAAGCGTGCCCAAAGTTCAACAAAGGATGAAGAGTGGAAACCTGAGAGCTGGCAGCACCATGCCTATGTGGTCTTCAGCGAAGTGGGAATCTTGGGCAAGCCAAATTCATCAGTTTCAATAGTGCTCTGTAGGCGAATAACAAAATAATAAGATAATCTAGATGAATTGCCCATTATCAGATATTTACCTTTCCAGGCACAATGCTATCGGCTCCAGGCTCTCGACTCGGCGCCTCCGGAGCCTTGACCACATCATCCAAATAGCTGGTGTCATCGTCCAGGGCAATCTCATCGCCCAGGGCATCCAACTCGGCCTGCAGGTCGTCGTCATCCACCTCGGGCATGCCGTAGGTGCGACCCAGTGCCTCCTGCACCTCGTCCGCTTGCTCAAACATATCCGCCATGTCGTCTTGGATGTCCTTCAAATAAAAAATGAATACTTAAGTTAATGTTCTATTGTAAAATCAATAATTTTTAATGAAAGGTCTTAGGTAGGTAAATATTTAACATTAAAATAAAACCATATTTTAAAATAAATAAGGTTGGAATATGGAGATTATCGTCCAGATGCCTATTAAAAAAGTTCTCGTTTTCGGTTAAAAAAAAACTCTTATAAAAAGTACTTAAAAATTGTTTAAAAAACTTTGAACAATACTTATAAATTCTGTTAAATCCCCCACATTTTTCTTAATAATAGTATTAATGAAGCTTACCTCGATCTGGTCGATGTTGATTTTCTTGTACTCTGTCTTCATTTGCTTGACTCCATCCTTCATGGCCGCCACTGTGGCCTGAGTATCCTTCAAGGATTGCGCAGCATAGTTGGCCTGTTCCATGTTGAACGACTGGTTGCGCAGAGATTCCGCCTGCTGTTCGTAGCTAAAGGATAATAAAATCAGTTTAGACATGGTGTATAAATCAAATTCGAGGATAAGATTAGCAGGTTGGAAAAGGGAATGTTAACTAGATAACGTTGATAGTATCGCAACTTTATAAAACAAAAAAAGTAAAGTTTCTAATTTTGAAGAAGATTAAGCACGGATGAATGGAAATAAATCAGTATAAAAAAGAGAGGGTGGGGTCTTGAACCTACGCCTTCTTTTGTTTGAGCACCCGAAGGGCCTTTTGTTTCACAGAATTCTTCGCAGGACCTTCGCGCATCTTGGACATTTGCTCGCGATATTTACGCAGCTCCGCTTCCAATTTATTGATCTTCTCCTCGATGTTTGTGGCTCGAGCATCGACCTATGGGCGATTTATTGGTTATAATAAAATCTCTATTTGCTTTATTTTCCCATGTTTTCTTCACTTACCCCGGCTATGCAGTCGTTTAGACTTGGACCCGGTTCCTTGGGCTTGCCACGACCAAAAAGGCGATTCATTTTGATTTGTTTTTGCCTTTAAAATTCTAAATTGGACGAGAATTTACGGTTTTTTCAGGCAATTTCGTTTTAAAAATTTTGTTTGATGACTAATTGTCTTCTTCTTGTTCGGAAACCAATCAGCTGTTTCCAACCAGTGATTCCCATATATCAAACGTTAGGCAACACTTTTTATTTTAGCGGTCACTTTTTAAAAGTTTAAGTTCTTATTGATCTGTTTTTCGCTTTAATTTTTTTTATGAGTTCGAACTTAACTATTTTTTAGAAAACAGATAGAAGAATAAGATAAATATATCTGTAGGTTAGATACCCGTCAATTATATAAAATTTTGATTAAATTATAATAATAATTTCACTTTTATAAAATAAGTCGACGAATATTTATTGCAACTAAAATTTGTGACTTTTAAACAATTATTTGTATTTTCTTGGTGTAACGGTTTCAGTTGGAAATGCTTTCACATTTAAAATTAGTATGTAAACATTTGTGAGCTGACAATTGCTAACTGGAACGAAATACAATCGTTGTGGAATATCGATGGAGGATTTTTAGGGGGAAAACTGAATTTTCATCTGGCAACACTAAAACTCAATTTAACATAATGTTAAGATACAACGTTTTCTTACATTGGCAGAGCAGCGGCAGAGGCGCAACAGTTTTGCCAATGTAAGAAAACGTTGTATCTTAACATTGCTGTTAGAAAACCATGAAATCTAACATTTAGCAGCGCCAAATTGGCGGAAGTGGGAAACTGGTGTAAGGAAACGGGCGCCCTCTATGGAAACATTTGTGAGCTGACAATTGCCAATTGGAACGAAATACAATCGTTGTGGAATATCGATGGAGGGATTTTCAGTGGGAACTATCGACTGTTTGAGGTTTTTTAGGGGTAGGCTGAACTGGTCCTACCATTCGCGTTAAAAATTAAAAACAAATCGCATCGGCGGGCGCTTTCGAGCTCTTAACTAACTTGATTTTCGCTAAGTAAGCCGTTTTATTGCTTCCCGAAAGCCAGAACCGCGGACCTAAAAATCGGAGATGCGCCGCTCGAACAGATGAAAGTGAAATCTGCCTGCCGGGCATTGCGAATTTCTACCATTTTCGATGGAATAAAAAGAGTGCTAAAAATAAACCAACAACAATACATAATTGGCAAGGCTTGAGCAAACAAAACTGCGTAGATAAGGCAGTTAAATAATAGATCAAAAGATTCGCAAGAGATCAAAAAGGCGAAAATTCAATAAATTCGCAGCTGGCCCTTTGACGTCACAGCGCATCAGCTGTTTGGTTAACGGAGCACCCTACTTCCTTTTCGCTATGACGTGCAGACTCGCCCACTAACAGTAAACACCCACGCTTGAGCTCCAGAAGAAATTCCCAAATGGATAGCTCCATGTACTATGCGAGGGAGCGAATTGCGGCCAGCACAGAGGCTAATGTCAGGGTCATCGCATCGACCATGGCCGCATCTCTGGCCAACGGAACCGCTTCGCCACGCGCAGATGACGGAGGCGTCTCCATGAACAACTTTTACCCGGCGTTGGTTCAATGCTTCGGCATCATCATTTGCGGGTTAGTAGAGGGGGCAGGGAGATAGCACCTAGTTGGCCCACGCATCCTCACCGATAACCGATAAGATAACCCATCGATTTTACCCCTTATGGCCCTCCTTTGTTTCATTCGGTACAGGAAAACCACCCTAATTGAAAATAATTTACTTTATTATGCGGAACTATATGCACAAAGTTCATTAGTCACCGCACAATGTGTACCATACTGTACCTTGGTCAACGATGTTGATAGTACAGCTCTTGATTTGTTTATTTATTATATAAAAAAGTATAAATTACATCTACAAATGGGATAGAAATTTTGTCTTTTAAGCTAGAACTTCTTCTTAAGGCAATTTATATGATTTAAAAATGATAAACCTACACATTTGACTCTTAACACTATCTGCACGCTTCGCAGTTAATTAATATTTCAGGATATTTTAAATCGCCAACAATTAACTTTCATTAAGAATCCTTAATCTTTATTATATCAAAGACTTTGAGACCCCAAATACACAGGCTTATATATTCTTGCCACAATTAGAGCTTTTATTAACAATGTTTGAACTCTTCATCAGAACCGCAAATGTGAATTTTCCCATTAATTAATATAATACCAACAAATCTTTTAAATTGAGTTATTTGTTTTGAAATACATTTAAATTCGTTTGCAATTACAACAACTTTTTTCACAAGATTTTGAACTTTTGTAACTACTTATAAACCCATGTAGAGTAAGTAAAAACTTGTTGCACTATAGGTTGCCACATCCCACGCAGGGTCTTTAGACTTAGATCACCTTATCGCTGTGATTACTGGGTACGTGCGCCAAAGGAAAGTTGTGTGTGCACTTGCTCGTACAGTGACCAGCACTTATGTCGCACACCGTCTCGAACCAATTTCAATTTCTCTGATTTGTTTTCCCCACTTATCAATTGACACTCGAATTTTATAATCTTCGCCAAACTGCTGTCTCACTGTCTGTGCGTACTCCAATTGAATCGTTTGCTTTTTTAAACAAACCCAGCAATTATCTTAAATCAGCTAAATTAATTTTTGTTATTTTTAGAAATACAATTCACAAAAAGAGATTTATTTGGGTTAAATTTGGCGTGTCAGCAAAAGTTGGTGGCCTAAGCTTGTTTAATATTGGGATACATAAAATAGATGCATGAATTTACTAAAATTTAAGATATTATTATTAAAACCCCTCAACGTTTTCTTTAATTTATGCTGCTGTTCTTTGTTTAATTGCGGATGCATTGCGAAAAAATGTTATGCTTAATTCGTTAGCGGTTGTAAAAGGGTTATTTAAATTACAAAATTTCCGATTACTCATTGCCGGTCGGTAACTGATATTGATTGATCATTCACCTGAAAAATCCAAACTGTTAAGCCTTTTGTTCCGGCTATTTGATAGGAATCTCTTTGTTTCCCTTAGCTGCATTATTTCCCAATGTTTACACACCTATTACTAGCAATTATAATTAAAAGCGATTTCATAAATCTGAACTAATTCCCGCCGCTCGCGGCACTTTTCCCGGGAAATTGCCGTGAAGCCTCTATTAAATTTGACATACAAAAAATTGCTCAATAACAATGGGGAGCGGCATATGTAAATTTCCTAGGTCCCATAGCAATCTTTATATATGCATCTGAGCCGAAACTTAATTGCCAGTGGGCAATAATCGAAAGTAAAACGTTTAGAGAGTGCGAGAAAAAACGTAAAAACTCGGCAAAACAATTACAAAAATGACCTTGCCAAGCAATGTTTAGCATTAAGCCTGTAAACAATATCTAGCCACTTCACCTGAGGCAATATTCGCACAGTACTAGTACACGGATTATGTAACCGCAATTACCGATTTGTCTACCGAGCACTACCAATTACAGGCGATATGCATGCCCAGACAAAAGACCAACTGGCAGATGCACCTCCTCCAACTGTTCAATCAAAACAATTACAGATATCGCCTATACAAACTCGAATACAAAGTCGGGTACGATTATATATTACTTAACTTTTCTCTCGCCGCGTTCGTTGGCATCTGACTTTAGAATTTAATACTGGAATCGGACTTACAGCTAAAAAACACCCTCCGTTCAGTCGTTAAGTTCTTCTTAATTTATTTTAAACTCACTTTTATAAACATAAATCTTTTAGGAAAATACTTTCTACAAGTAAAATGCCCTGTCTTGGAACTTTCTATAAAATACAATTTTTACAGTAGCCTAAACCTTAATCATTAGCAAACCCCTCAGAAAGATCTCCCCAAAAATAAAACACAACTTGTTTGCTCTATAATTAAAGGGTAGTCGAAAGATACACATCATTTCCAGGTTTAAGTGGTGCCCGTAATGCAATTAAATTTTGCTTTACGACTGTTATCAGATTGAAATTATATTTAATCATTTATTTGATGAATCTTTGTTGTTTCTGCTGACTGTGAGAATTTGATCGACTTGTTATAGACCTTTTGCTTTGTGATATAGGGTGGGAATAACCTGATAAGCGCTACCAGTAATTACGGGGGTGTATAAGCACCTCAGCTTTTTATGGATTGACATTTGTGTGATGTTATAGCTATAGTGCGAGTGTAATAAATGCATTGATCCCATGCATATTATATGTAAAACGTTCTAATCTACACATTCGCAGCTGTTTCTTTATCGGAATCTGGGCGAGAGTTGCCCAACAGGTCGCCCCGCATTATGACAAAATTAAATGAACTATTACTTTGTTCGGGCACGTAAGGTGAATATTTCCGTGCCGATCCTAACAGTCTGCCAATTAAGGCTTTACTTCTTAGAAGTATATAGAAGCTTTTCACTAGGTTGACTAATTTCGATGTTGTTCCTCTCGACTGACTTTCTAGAACACTTGTTTTGCTCAACAGATAAATGAGGTAGGTAAATAAGGAAAAATGGTAGACGTTTTTTGTTTATTAAGTCGGTAGACAGAACACTTTTATAAAAAACACTTGTTAAAACTTCGAAAGGCAAAACATGGGCCATGATTTAAGCCATGAAATCTATAAATTAAAAGATATCTTACCAATATAATTATTTTAAAATTTATTTTAAAATACAGTTATTATAAAAATCTTTCTAGATATATGTATTTATTTAATACAGTAACTGTATTTCTTTCTTTTAGCTTTTTCAAGCTTTCGAATAGGCACACTTTCTTATCAGTCATGTCGTGTAACCTCTTCAAGACTAAACAAAACATAGATAATGTTCACAAGCGTTTCGCATTCCTAGGAAAAAAGCATTCTCACGAATATAAATATATGACACATGGGGTTCCTCAAAACCAGAAGCTGCAGTCTGCCAGCTATATCAATAAGAGGATCCGGAGATAAGAGATTTCTTAGGTACTTCCCAACAATAAAATCCACAACATCTGCTATAAATCCAACGTAATTGCAATAAATCGCGTTGAGTCATACGGAAAGGTCGCTAAACTAGTTCGTATAAAGCTGGGGGAAGTACTCCCTACTCCAGATTACCAGACAAATTAATTTGTCTCGACGAGTGTGACAGAAATACGAATACTCGCACATAAATAAAAACGTTTACAAATCGTTGTTTGCCAAGAGACAGACCGAAATAAAACTGGTTTACGAGGGGATCACGTGTGGTGGCTCTGGTGATTGTTTTTTATATGCATGTAGTACATATTGTACATATTGATTAAGAGTTTCCGCCTTTCCGGCTGGCTGGGTTATTAGCATTATAAATAAACACCTTTTCGTTATAAGGGGGGCGTGGTCCGACACGCCTTTACAACCTGATTACTGGCTTAATGTTCTCCTTTTGCTCACTCCTTGTTGTTACATTGCAGTTACATTGCCGGACGATTCAAGATCATTAGCAATGCGGAAACCAAGGGTCTGGGCACTTTCGTCGGCACCTTCGCCCTGCCCTCGCTGATCTTCCTGTCTCTGGTGGAGCTGAACTGGAACGCGGTGAACTGGAGCTTCCTCCTGGCCATGACCGTCTCCAAGGCGGTGGTCTTCTTCTCCGTGCTGATCATCTCCCTGCTGGTTGCCAGGCCACTGAACTACGCCCGCGGCGGATTGATGGCCATTTTCTGCACCCAAAGCAATGACTTTGCCATCGGCTATCCCATAGGTGAGTTCTAGCCGGGATTACAAGTTGGCTAAATAAAATTAGTAACTTAAAAAACTAGATATTATTTAATTCTTAGTCAGCACTTAAAAGCAAAATGTACTTCAGGGACCAACTGTTACCCAATGTGTTGCTTTTTGAGACCCATCTATATTTTAAGACAGAGGGGCTTTAAACTTTCATAAGCCTTTTAGTTTTGAGGATCACTTAGTTGTAAACAAAGATTAGATTTAATATAATTCAATTCTAGAATGGTTAGATAGTTTTGGGTTTTACGTAAGAAGTATCATTTGTATTCAATATGCAAAAATAAAATGGAAAAAATTAAAACTCAGCACGTAAACTTTGGCAACTATAGTTGCCGGCTATGAAATTCGTCAGTTTCAAAAGATTATAAACATTAACGCTCGATCACATAATGATAAATAGTAATTTGAAATGAATGGCTTTTAAAGTTGCATTCACATATTAAATTGGTCCAAACAAAGCCGAGAATATGATGTAATTATAATTTACTTTCCGATTTAAACGATTTGATAAATAAACTGTTATTAACTGTAACTTCAACGCAATTTAATTAACATTATATTTCCTGCAGTTATGGCTCTATACAAGGATGTGCATCCGGAATATGCTTCATATCTGTATCTAATGGCCCCGATCTCACTGGCTATTCTGAATCCCATTGGTCTAGTGCTCATGGAGATATCCAAGATAATCAAGAACAAGGAGGATGTGGTAAGTACCTGAGTATTATTTCTCTCTCTCCTCATTAAATTCCTGTTGAAAATCCCTTTCAGACCCGTAATCCACCACTGTGTCCTGAAACTTGTCCCGCAGAGCAGATGGCCAAACGGAATCGGTGCCTGGGTGAACGATCTATTCTCGTTTTTAACACCCTGGTTGCTCTGTTCTTCAACCCTTTGCTCCTGATGACCTTGCTGGGTGTTGCTGGCGGTTTCCTCTTTCCGCACGGACTGCCCGAAATGGTCTCCAGTACTTTGCGTGTCCTTGGACAGAGCTTTTCGGCCACAGCTTTGTTTCTACTTGGCCTGAAGATTGTCGGAGGAACGGGATCGGAACGAAAGAGTACAGGATTTCTATTGCCCGGAGTGCTTATACTGGTTAAAATGTATGTGTAATTTGTAACATTTATTTATTCAATAGATCAACATATCTTGAAATTTATTCATAGCTTGGTGCTACCGCTGGTCATCCGGCAGACGGTCAACATTATGCAGTCTGGCCAGAACTTCAACGACACCACCGAGCTGAGTACTTTCGGCTTTCTCTACGGCACCTTCCCAGCTGCCCCCGGGGCTTTTGTCGTTGCGACACAGTACAACATGGAGGTTGAATTGGTAATTGGATTGAAAGTCAAATCGAAATATCCAGTGCCCATTAATAATGTATTCTCTCTGCTCAGGTTGCCCGTAGCATGGTTTTCTGCACATTCATCTCGGCACCGCTGATGTTTATATCAGCCAAAATGATATCGCTGACGAATCTGAAGCCACTGGACTATCTGCATGAGCTGGACGCCTTTTCGTTTGACATCAGTGTGGCCGGTGCGGCTGCCTGTTGCATCATGCTGGTATTGTTGATCGTGACGAAGCGGTTTAAGCGAATGCCGCAGAGGATCACTTTTTGTCTGGTGCTATCGCAGGTGAGACATCCTTTTTGGTTACCTTTTGGAGATGGTTTTTAAATTGTGTAACCCTTCCAGCTCATGTGCTGCATAGGAGTAATTCTCTGGTCCAAGATGGAACACGTGCACCGTTGGCCCTTGTATCTTCAGTTTTTCCTCTTCAATATTGGCACCTACAGCACTCGCCTGTGGACGGCTCTCTTGGCCATTTCCCTGCTCTTCCTGCAGTGTCGCAGCTTGTGTTTTGTCCTAAAACTATGGCCGTATATGGTAACTATTTAAAGTGATACAAATATAATGTAACCTTATGTAACTTTTAATTTTCCTGCTTTTAGTTGGTATTTGCCTGGGCTGTGCCGGCCATCATTTCGGGTCTCTTGGTGGCCTTTGACTCAAATGTGATGTCTGGAGAAAAACATAATCCGAGCTTTCAGTACGGAAATGCTCAGGCTGCCATCTCAGTTTTTATGCTTGTCATGTGCTTTATAGGTGTGTATAAAATTTATTTTAAAAATGAACTCAGCACCAAAAAAAATGATGAAAAATCTATATGCACTTGAAGGGTTAATTAAAGCCTGTAGGATCTTTGGTTTATGATTGGTTATCTATTCTAAACCATATATAATAATCCGTCAGGTTGTACAATGATGCGTCAAAAGTTTTCAATCTGATATAATTTCCCTTGAGAAGTTCGTGAAAGTTTTTCATAACATTATTAACTCATATATATTATATTTCAGTCACTGTCGGCTGCTTGGTGCTGCATCAGCGTTATAAGAAACGCTACGAAAAGTACATGACCTATTCACGTGAGTTGTCCAATCCGGAGTCGGGTATGTTCCTGAAATCCCAATAAATTGAATAACTTTTAATGCTTCTTTTATTATAGAAACATCAGATTTGCACTCGACAATATCCACAACTAACTTATTGAGTAATACGGATCATTCGTCCATCCGGCAGAGTGTTCGCACTGCATCCTATTCGTCCTCATCCGACGATGAAGATATGATACCAACAGCTGCGGGATTGCCAGCGAACAGAACGAATGGTAATAGCAGCGGAGGATCAGGAGGAGGAGAAGGAGGAGGAGGTGGTTGTGGCTCTGGCAATGGAACCTGCTGCTCGGGAGGAGCACCGGTCACCACTCCATCGACAGCCAGCACCGTGGTTGTAGACATTGAGGATCTGTTGAATCGCACTCGTCAACGCGCCAATGGAGCCAACAATAAAGATCTGGACAAGATCGAGAGTGCACCTGCTGCAGACGAGTACGTTATAGATAATATTATTAACTATTAGCAAGGTTCATAATAAGAAAACATAATTATTCTTACAGAATTCGCCATCAAATGTGCAGCAGCTCGTTCAATTGCGGACCAAGTACCTCTCGACAAGGTTGTCAGACTATTATCGAACGCTATGAGGATCAGAACAGGCGTGGACTCGAGCCCCTAGAGCACCCGAGCGACACGGATGAGCACCAAACCTTGAAGCACACTGTCTTGCTGATCATTCTGCTGTGCTCCATGTTTGTCGGCCTGGCGGTGTCCATTTGGACTCTGGTCATGGAAGGAATGTCGGGCATTTATCTGGAACTGAGTTTCCTCGATGCTTTCCTAAACTTTGGTCAGGGTCTAATTGTGCTGGCCGTGTTTATAACCGACATGGGCGAGCTACTGAGGCCAGTTGTCAAGCTTTGGCGCAAAATATGGTGAGATCTCTTGTTTTAAATCCTAGATCGATTTTCATGACATTTTCCCTTAAAGGTATGGAGCCAATGTGGTTAGTCTACCGCACTGGTCGAACGTGCGACCCGAAACCAAGCATATTTGTGAACAGTTCCGCAATCATCACTTGGAAAACTGCAAGAAGGATATTGCCAAGGACAGAAGGTGGGCATTGCCAAGACTTCAATTTTTCGTAGCTTAGCAAACATAGGGAATTATTTAGAAAGTTGTTTAGTTTTTTATAAACAATCTTTATTTTTGAAAACCCTTTTCTAATTTAAACCCTGCCTTAGAATATTAAGCAGCAATAGGAATAGTCCTATGGAGGACAATAATTTTTAATTTCAATTAAACTAAGTAAGTATTTTGAGTGATTTCCATTCTGAACCAGTTAGCAGCTAAGCATTTTATTCAGCTTGATCTTAGCACTCTTGTGGCAAACGTTTTTAGTATTCGCTTGAGCTAGATTAGAAAAACTATAAGATTTGATTAGTATTTACTAAAACATTTACTAAATTTTTACAGGTGGCGCATTCGAGTGTATCGCAGGGTGTTCTACGGCACCGAGTTTGTCAGCTGGCTCATCGAGGTGGGACTTTCCAAGGACCGAATGGAGGCTGTTCACTATGCCCGACATCTGGTCGATGGACGGGTCTTGAGGCACATAAACAACGTTTATCACTTCGAGGATAAACTGCTGCTCTACAATTTCTGCAGTCGCATCTAGAGGCAGCTACTACAAAGATGAAGCAACTACGCCAAATTTAGTTTGATTTCCTGTTTAGTTTATCATATCTCTTGTATGTAATTTTGACTGCTGTGATTGTACGCCAAACAAACACGCACACACAATGCAGCCAATTGTGTGTGGGTGATGGTGATGGCGAGTGGGAGGATGAGCTAGTGAATTTGTGTATATTGTCCAGGCAATTTGCTTGGCAAACGAAAGTTTATTTTTTAAATGTTTATTACTAAGTAGTTGACTCGGCTGACAGTGGCAGGGGGCTATCAGCTGGAGCTTTAAATAGGTGCAATATAGAATACTGAATGTAACAGAAGATGAGTGTTTCCTAAATATTACAAATATCTTTGTACTTTAAACGAAATTCTATGTCACAACTAAAAGAAAACTGTGCATAAAACGCTATAAACGAATATATCTATATATACACACACATAGTATAGTAAACACCCATAAATAAATATATATATACATGCATATATACCTCAAGCCGCGAGGCCCAAAGAACAAAACATTTACCATGCATTTGTGTCGCATTCGATTTCAATCTTAATTTGCATTGTTTTCCTCCAACACAGCCTTTTGATATCTCTTGTTTTGTTGTCGAATCTTCAGCTTCAGCCATTTTCGATCGCCTTTTGGTCTTGCACGCGTCGCTCAATCTGCGTTCTGCGTGTTTGAAATATCAATCTTCCTTAATTCCGGACACCGGCAACTCTATTAATTGTTCGCAGGCCATCTTCGATTTAATATTCTGCCAACGATACGCTGGGCTATATTTTGGTATGCGCCTGCCTCCCATAAACATTCCCGGAGAGAAGTCTCGACTCTTCTCTGACCAAGTATCATCAATCCATTGAAGCTCTGGTTTGTTTGTTATGCTAAATGCAAGTATTTGTAAAGTGCGCTGGCACACTGGCCACGAAAAGTATTCGCTCATTGCAGTTCTACAAACATTTACTGACTCACTGGGGGTGCAAGTCAAGTACATTCTTTCAATTGCATTCTCAATAGTTAAAACCATTATATTCTAGAGTTTTAACCTTGGAGGAAAGTTGGATATGTCAGGGGCGGCCTATCTCAATTTATAGCAATCTAATGCAGTCCCAAGGTCTGACCAATTCCTATCATAAGGCTGCAATTCGGTCATCAGCTCTAGTTATATAAATGACACTGCAGGGATGAATCATTAAGGGAAGTTACACTCGCCAAGGGAGTGCAATTTCCAATGGTCTCTCAAGTTAAGTGGGAAATACACTTAGCGCCGCAATAAGTCCCTGCATTCTATTTCAGTAACCGTGTTATTCAAGCATTATAATACATTTATTTTCTACAAAATTAGAACTAATTATGCGTCGATCATTTATCAGAATTTTAATTAAAATACAATTTTTTTGATCTTTATTAAAATTATTTTTTATTGTTATCGTTATGACGGATTATCTTTCGAAAACTATTTGAAATATACATTTTTTTTTAGCAAAATAAATACATAGAGCAACTTAAATTAATCGTTGAAAACTGCCCGATCTTATCTACTTCCCTTTTCCGTATGTTCTTGTACTTCTTGTACGTTTATTAGTTTAAACATTAGCTAAACACTTCAATGACTTTTTACGACCTTATCAGTATTGACAGATTAAACAGAAAGTCCCGGAATTACAACCCCGTGGTAGACATTTCGGAACTGATTTGAAAGATTATAAAAAGAAAACTGCAATATAACATTCAATTGGAGTCACGAGTCGAGCATGTCATGACCTCATGCCTCTGTGCCCAAAAATCCTGGCCCATTAATCAACCGCTTTATGACTGAGAAGTGCTAACTGAATAAGTGCAAATAGTTATTATTTATTCATTTAATTTTGCAAAAACGCGCCAAAGAGGGTCGGATCAGAGGTCAGTCAACCCTTGAGCCACGAAAAAGTAATTTTTATTTGTCCCAGCCATCCAATCCACCCCACGCAGCGGAGGCCCAAATATATGGGCTGCCGTCGACGTTGCTCTGGGCATCCAATTTCGAGGCGTACAATTAATAGACACCAAACCAATTCTGGTGACGCTTAACAAGGATATCAAGGGACACCCAATTCTAGGGCAGCATTCACATTTTGCGTTTTGTTGCCTTTCGGGGGAATTAACTAAAAATAGTCCAACCGCATGACGTCTGCAGAAGTCAGTGGGATGATACTTGAACCGCAATTTCGAACCACAAGGACGACATCAGCCTCCCACAGCCGCAGGCTCGTTAATTTCATCCAGCTGTAGATGTAGCATTTAATTTCAAGTTCCTCATACGCCCCGTTGTCGCCACAACAAAGACCACCCATCCATTCCCTACCATTGAGCTATCCCAATATGGATCTTTTCCATAGCCGATTGGCCGCTTCCGCTATTTTCGCCGCATGGCTAATTTCCCATTTAAAATACAAATATGCGAGACTTTCAATTTAAATATTAAAATCCCAATAAATTTTCCAATAAATTCTTAATCGATTCATTAATAATTTTTTTTATTTACAATTTCTTTGAAGAATTGGTTTCCGAAATTTCTATTGCATCTACTAATCCAAAACAATTTTGCAATAATCACAAATGGCCAAATCTTAATTGTGAGTTTTCATTAGAGCGCCTGGCAAGTCAAATCAGAAAGCTGAATCAAAAGCATGGTGAATAATATTCAAAGTAGACTTTCATAAATGCTCTTTATTCCTTTTTTTTTTAGTTATTTCGTTCTATTGATGGGAATATAAAAATCGACTAAACATATTTATTAATTATAATTGGAAGAAGAATAAATTGATTAATTTATTGTTAATTTTATTTTCTATTTCATTACTATATTCTATATGTTTTGAACTTGGAATAGTAACATTTTAAATTCAGCTTATGTAATGGAAACGTACATTTTTCTTAGCAGCTTTAATAAAACATTAAACATTTTTATTGCCGAGCAAACTTCCGGTAAACTTAAGCAAACACTTTGCTGTTATACAAGATAGGTCTAAAATAATGGGTATGACTAACAACTCATATTAAATGCCAGTTCCATTTTTGTCTGTGCCGAGAGTATAGATTATAATTTCTTAAAAATTAGAATCATAAGTATTCATCATATGAATAAAAATAAAATTTTAAATCAGACAAAGGAAATTGTAATGGATTTTAAATAATGTCTTACAGATGTGCAAAAAAATGTATCACGTAATTTTCCTTTTTAAATGTATATTATCTTTACTAACCGACAAACGAGATTAAAAGAACTGTTAGTGAATGGGTGGCAATTTATTATTTTTTTTTAATGAATAACCGTACATTTATATTGTTTAAATATTGTATCGAACCACAAACCAAAGACATAATCATTACGTTACGTTTACGTTCTTTTTTTGCTTCTGTTTTTAATTAATAATAAATAGATTGTTTTAAAAATAAATAAAATAATAAGTTTTAAATGAAATATTTTATTTATTATATTTTATCAGTAAGCAGTTAAATTATAATGATTTATTTTATTAAAATCGATACAAAAATGGCACTTTATAATTTCCGATTGAAATTGATATTCTTAGTGAGCCGCAATTCGATAGGGTATGAAGAGAAACAATAAAATTTGTCGTGCTATATTGACCGTTCGCACACGTCCAAAGGCGCTGGCACGAGCTGTGCATTTTCGATGGGGTGGTTCGCCAGTGGGTGCGGATTGGGCTTGTGCTTTGGGGTGTCCATATGCCATACACTATATCCGATCCGACCACCGACGGCGCCAACCGAAGTAGAGCCGATCCAGAGCCGAGGCCGAATGTTTGCCAACTGTTGAGCAAGGAACCATGCCCCCTAGAAAACCCCACTGCGGTCCGATCTGCCCAACCACCCACTTACATATATAGCTCGGAGCTATGGGCAGCAGCCGACGAGTGCGCGCTCGTCGAGCAAGTCATTCTAAATCGACGCCTTGCTGGCTGCAGACGCACTCCTCGGATCGAATCGCCATCGAATTGGTCGGTTAATCAAGTGTCGCTCGCTCTAATCATTAATTAAGTGTCTTAGGAAAATAATTCCAATTTGGCTATCGAAACGGGTTTCCATCTGTTGCATGTGCAAGCGACTATGTTTTTGCGGCAGGCTCATTTGTGAAAAGAAAAATCGTTTGCGGTCAGCTTAGATTTTCACCTGAATTGCAATTGAGCTCCAATTATCACAATCATACCGGCAACATGGAATCCACAACACCTGTGCTGGAGCTGCTGCTGCTGGAGAGTTCAACCACTGCGGCCACTCCAAAAGCCCTCTATGCGAACAAAAAGAATTTGATCATCGGTGTCATTGTCATGGTTCTAGGAGTTTTTGGCAATTCCCTGGCCCTCTTTATTTTGGCGCGCAAAAAACTCAACAAAAACAGCAAATACACGCTCATGTTGCGGTAAGTGCATAAAAACAAACATAAAAAAATTGTACATATGTTTGAAATATTTGTTATTGATTTGGCAATTAAAAAGACAATTTTAAAAATTTCCCAAAAGCTGCTAAAAATATTTTAAGCAAACCAATTTTATGTCATTTAAATGGATGAACAAATAATTTACAAATTTAAAATATTTGAGATTTTAGCAAAAAAAATAAAAACAGAAAAATTTATGTTTAGGAAAAACTCATTTTTTAAAATCTAAAATGACTAACAAAGTGTAGAAATTTTAGCATATTTTCTTTAAGTGCAGCTACTCATTTTATGCACATAATGTTTGTGACTGTTTGCGGCCAGTTCATGGCTATGTAAGTTTATTCAACCTGCTCTCAACTGCGGCCACTATATAGTGTTCGATTGATTATATGCCTATGCGGGCCTGATTTGCATACTATGAACTGTTTTGTTTGGCCGGGGCTTTGTTTTTGAATATCTTATCAAATGGCGGAATTAGTTCGTTGGCCATGTGTTTTGGTAGTGAGATTTTGCCATATACCAGTCTGTTTCGGACAATCTTATCGGCGACATGGGAATGCAGCAATTGCGAATGCATTAAAAGCTTAATGGTGTAACTGAAGACAGAGATCAGAGCTTGCCATATTGGCATATGTGCATATACTTATGTAGGAATTGCAATCTGAAATTAAGAAGGTGAGAATTTATTATGTTTTTATTGCATTATGCAAAAATGTTGCCATATATTTAAATGTTTTTTTTTTATTTGTTTGCATACTTTATTACTTTAAAAACACAGAGCCAATGCTGTATGTATTTTACAATTTTTTGCATCATGTGTCTACTTCTTAATTACACAACTTATTTTGAGTCATTAAAATTAGACATAAAAAAAACCACAATCCAAAAGGGTATGCAATGATATTAAGTGCAACCTTATCAAGTGATGAAATGTTATGTATGACACACAAGAAATTCTTGTAGTTTATTTGCCAAATATTTGTCACAATTTATACGTCATTTATCAGCATTGGGCCGTTTAGCAGATTCAGTGAGCTTTTTTCCAATTTGCTCCTTTCCCTACATTTTATGCTGAGACGACAGTGCGTATGCGTAATATGCGCAAATTGCTGTCGCCAGCAATTTGAGCCTTCAAGGGAGCAGAAATTAAGGCGAATTCCACTCCAGACATGAGCCTCCTTTAGGAAGAGCCTTTGATCTGTAATTTGATTGATTGAATGAACCCGGTGATTGGCACTTGAGCAGTGTCGATAAATCAGGGTATCCCAAATGGCATCACCCTTATTGCTATTTGCCTCTGAAAGAGAACCGGAATGGTTGGGGAAATGTGTATTTCCCCATTGCAAAAATAAACAATGAGTTTGCTATTACAAGCCAACAACACAATCATGCATTTCTCGTTGCAAATCGAAAATTTAGATATTTTCGCCCTGTAATGAGCTGTTTCGGCGTTTTTGCTTTCAGTGAAACTTTTACAACGCACCATAAATTGAATTTTAGTAGTTTCTGCGCTAAAAACAGGTATAATGGTATACAAGCAAGTAATATAGATGAATAAAGTCATTTCAATGCCCAACGATTAGCCCAGCCTCAATATTCAGAAATGTTCAATCCCACTTTTTATTATATTCCAAGCAGGCGCTTTCATTCATTTCCATTGAAAAAGCCCTGCATCTAAATATATATTTTCATCTCACCCGAAGAAAAATGAGTTTCCTGTCTTAACGGGGCCCCAAAAGTAGTCGGAAAGAAATATACCCAAACGCAATATATTTTGATCTCAATAAAAGGGAAACACTTAATTAAATTGACAGACACATATTTTACCGACTAGGTAATGACTACTTAATTGGTGTATTATTTACAAATAAGATTTCGTTTAATACAAAAAATATATATATATTATTCATTTATTAAAAAAAATATCCATATTATTTTTTGGTTGGTTTTTTGTTTAATTTATTCAATACAATATAAATTACACTTATAAATATGCCGATGTTCGTTTAAAGATCAAGTCACGTCTTAGGCCACCAAAATCAGAAAGTTATACAACCATATGGGGCAGCTTTGAGGTATCTTGATTGAAAGTTTCGCCTTATCAAATTGGCAATTAATTAAAAACACTTTGCTATTACAAATTATCGTTCCTCCATCCTATATTCGTGGTTTATTATTATAGACCCAATGGTTTGTTTGCACATTAGCGTTAATGGAGTGGAACAATTTTATTATCCCATTTACGAACCTTTATGAAATTTATGAATGAAAGTCCCTAACTATTTCAGATGCCTGGCCACTAACAATCTGTTGGCTCTTCTGGGGATGCTAACCACATCACTGCTGAAAATGTACCTTTCGAAGGAGGTCCTTTATTCCTTTATTCGACTGGACTGTGTGGGACTCGTGGTGTGGCGGTTTTTCGGCCTTAGCTCCGGCTGCATCGCGGCAGTCATGGCAGCGGAAAGGTGGATGGCCCTTGCAAGGCCCTTCATTTATCACAAGGTTCGTAACATTATTTAAAAACAAGAAAGGAAGCTACCTTCGGCCAGCCGAAGCTTATATACCCTTGTAGATAAAAGAATACTCACTCGGTGCAGTTCCAGGGATTCCAGATTCAGCGTTTCGATTTATTTCAATTTTGTTTTTAAGTAGTCAAGAATCAAAACGCCTACTTCCTACAAAGTTACAATGAATTTTCTTATATTTGTTTGGGAGCCTTAAGATATAGTGGTCCGATCCGGCTGGCTCCGACATATGTACTACCTGCAATAGAAAGAAGACCTTCGGGAAAGTTTCATCGCGATAGCTTTAAAACTGAGAGACTAGTTCGCAGAGAAACGGACAGACGGACATGGCTAGATAGACTCGGCTATTGGTGCTGATCAAGAATATATATACTTTATGTGGTCGGAAACGTCTCCTTCACTGCGTTGCAAACATCTGACTGAAATTATAATACCCTCTACAAGGGTATAATAATTTTAGCCTATTTTACGTGTAATATATTAGTAACAAAGTAAGTTCAGTACATAAGGAAATATGTGTAGGTTGTAATAATTTTTGATTTTTTCCTGCCATTTGGTCAATCGCTAATGAATCTAACGTGCTAGGTACTTTTGCAAAGATTAATCTTTTAGCTTACAAAGAAAAAAAATGTTCTCTTTTAAGTGCCAAAGAAAACATTTTTCAAAAATACAAATTTCTTTAACTTAATCAGTTGAGCTTTAACTTGATTTTCGTCCTATTTGAAGGAACACAGGATTAAATAAACACCTTGTGTTCTAACAGTTAAATTAACTATATTTTTCGATATTGTTAGGAATTTAGAATTTTACCTTCTTTCAATTCAATTTAAGCGCGTTTTTAATTTTATTAGATTTAGATTTAAAGTAGTTCCACTTTTATGGTGGAAAATGTTAAAGGACTGTCACAGCTTATATTTGAATTAAAAAAGTGAATGTAAAAGGTTTTGAAAAAATCTGAGGCAATGGCAGACCTTTCCCAAATGTATGTATCAAAATAACATGCGATTTTAAAATTCATTTTTTATTTAATATTATTACTAAAGAATAGTTTTTAAATGATATTACTATTTGATATTTTTATAAAACATTAAAAAAAATGTCTTATGATTAAAAAGTCACAAAGCGTACACATCCGTCCATCTAATCGTTATAAATCTCTCCCAAAGCACATCACCTACGAGCTGATCCGCAAAAGCATCAATAGCATACTGATTGTGGCCGTAGTCATCACGTTCCTGCCATTGGTTGGGTTTGGCGCGTACATGGATGAATCGAATCCGGAAAAGCTTAAGTGCATGCGATATCGCGATGCCCAGGGAGTGTGGAACAAGTCGTACGCGGTGCTCTTTATGGTCTTCGGTAATGTCCGATCGATACCAGATACTATATATTGTTACTAATTTGGCGAGAGATCTTTTCTAGGTACCCTCCTATGCATTGTGATCGTGGCCTGCAACCTTTTCGTCGCCCACACTTTGCTCTGCGTCATCGGAAGAACTCGAACGGCCAAGAGGCACATGCACTATGACCTCGTCTCGGGGGATAAGAACAGTGCCATTAGCATCGATCCGGAGAGCAGCAGCGGCACCACTCTCTACCAGACGCAGCTGAGCTCCGGAAGCGGTGGCAGCCATCGCGGTGTCCAACCGACGAGGCAATTCCGGCACAGCGTTAGCGTTACGATGGCGGCCACTGATTCCTCTCCGGTGGAGATCAAGTTCGCCAAGTTGATGGCCTTCCTCAGCATCTCATTCGTCATCTGCTGGATGCCACAGATGGTGAGTCTGAGATAAATATCATGGGTCTTAATATATTCTATCCACATACCAAATTTCATATCATTCGGACTATCATTCGGTTATAAGTAGACATTGGATTATATTGAAAATCATATTTTTAACGACTTGTAAAAATCAAATTTCGATTGAAATTCATTAAATTCGTTAATAATAAGATTAAGCCCATGAAGTTTTTACATATTCGAAGTATCTTGCATATCAAGAACATATCCAACATTATTATTATTATTATTATCTAATGCTTACTTAACTTATAGTTAAACTATAAACTTACAATGGTTTTATTTTAGAGCTAAAGCAGCAAAAGGCCTTAAGCTCGCTTATTGTAGTTTAGTAGTTGTGATTATTATTTTTATTATATTTTACAGATTTTTTTTATATCTTATATAGTATGTTGCAAATATTAATGAAGTGTATAATTTTCTGGGTATTGATTAAATTAGGATTTGACATATCCAACATATTTTAGGACATATTACACTGGTCGACAAAAAAAAAGCCCAAGAATAAAAGCTACCAAACCTGAAAGGATTTTAGCTGTAGATTACTACCTCATACTTGGAAACTTTCCATCACGTCGAAGTTTTGAGAAATCCGTGGTCAAAGTTCCGAATTTTCGATTTTTAGGCACTTTTTGCGGCTTAATAGTAAGAAAACCTTTCGTAGCCCAGAGCCACAATTTAGCGGAAATGGTACCTTGAACCTTTAACTTCAAGAGTGTCCAATCACAAAGCTGGGCGACCTCTACTTCTTTAGCTACAATGGATTTTACAGAAGTACTTTTTGTCACTTTTTTTCATCTATAGTAGCCTGATATTTTTAATGTATTGTATGTATATGGGTCTCAGTTCAACAAGAAAAATATCAGGCTACTATAGATGAAAAAAAGTGACAAAAAGTACTTCTGTAAAATCCATTGTAGCTAAAGAAGTAGAGGTCGCCCAGCTTTGTGATTGGACACTCTTGAAGTTAAAGGTTCAAGGTACCATTTCCGCTAAATTGTGGCTCTGGGCTACGAAAGGTTTTCTTACTATTAAGCCGCAAAAAGTGCCTAACAATCGAAAATTCGGAACTTTGACCACGGATTTCTCAAAACTTCGACGTGATGGAAAGTTTCCAAGTATGAGGTAGTAATCTACAGCTAAAATTCTTTCAGGTTTTGTAGCGTTTATTCTTGGGCCAAGAAAAAGTCCTGATGTTGTCGACCTGTGTTATTAAAGCATGCTTTTTTGTAACTTATAAGATCTTTTATACCAGACGCCAAAAAGAAAAAAAAACATTTCTTATTTATTCAAGTTCTTAATGAAACCGTATTATTTCCTTTAAAATTAAAATATTTATTGTATCCTTTTTTAAGATTGCCATCCCATTGGCCATAGCCCCAGATCGGGTGCCCGCAACGAATAAATTCTTCCTCATCGCCGACGTCTTGACGGCCTTGCACTTTACCTCGGATCCGTATGTCTATGTGCTAAGTCGATCCAAGTCCATCAATTGGTCCTTGTTGGGCTGCATCAAGCGGTGGAGGAGCGGATGGCGTCCGGGTGGACTTCGCCGATCCCAGAGCGACCAGAGCCGTATGCGCACTACGATGACGGAGGCGAATACTCTGGAGTTTAACTGACTCCGACCGATCCTCATATTGCACCCAAGTACTTAGTCCCATGTCCCGGCTCAATGGGATCTCACTCAACTATCGTTTACGCCTCTTAAAAAAAAAGTCTCTAAGGAGTAGCGCCTCGTAGTTTCGTAAGCTGTAAATAATATACTCTACTTTGTATCACACCATATCAAGGCTTTCCTTATATGTATGCTCAGCGCACATAATCTCAGAATCGATAGGCGATTTGTGGAATAAAATATACCGCTTATGTGTGAATGTATAGTATCCAAGAATATATATATTTTGATTTAAGGGGTTCCGGAATTGGATTCATTTGGAAAAATATTTTTTCGGTCGTTACGGAATATTGTGGACGTAGCACTTTGATGAACTGAACAGGAACCTCTAGAATTTGCATGAGAAATGTTCTAGCTATTATAGTTTCATCCTGATCAAGAATTAATATACTATAGTGGAAAACCCTTCCACATTCAAAAAATTATTCGCCCTGAATTATAGAAATTTGCGTCACTGGCGATTTTATTCTTAAAATAATAAACATTTTCTACTGGTAAAAAAATGTTCTTCAAATTAATCAAAATTTATTAAATATAAGAAATTTTCCTGAAATATAGAAAAAATTGCCAGTGAAGCAAATTTCTAAAATTCAGGGCGAATAATGTTTTGAGTGCACCTCCCAAAGGGACTAATACAATGTAGCCTTTTTACTTTAAAAAAAGAAGGGTATAGTATGTGCCAGGAAATGTTAAGATTCTATACGAACTTTCAAAAATGAAAACATTGTACAGCTGAGAAAGTACATCCTTCATTAGGCCAAACCATCTATCAAATGGCAATCCGACAGGAATGTAAATGTACATATCTTTATTTTCCCCGACTAATTACATTCCCAATCCGTGCAGCCTCCGGAATTCGGCTACTGCACATCATTGCCCAACAGACCGAAAGCTAATTTCCATTTCCCTCGACCAAAACAAACAGGAATCGCATTTGTTTTACAACTACTTTTGTTTCTTTGTTTATTTTAAAATTTTTATGATTACATAAGTTGAATGGTTGGTTGGCTGGTATGGTATGCAGTGTTGGTAGGGGGAATTGCGTATAGTTCAAATTTAAATCGATTCAATCAAGTTGTTTGTATTCTCCCTCGTCACAGTATATCAAGAAGTTCCGTCTTCAGTTACACAATGTATTCAACTGTTGCCTGTCGTCTTCTTCTCAGTTTCCTCTCATTCAGTTTTTATGCAAATTGGGATGCAAATGTCAAATTGCGGGAAGAGATCGATTTGATCTGTTCATCATCCTCCTCCTGGGCGTGAATGTATATATTTGTTTCTTGTGTAGAGTTTAAGTTTATGTGTTATATTAAATTACGAATTCCTCCGACGTCTACTTAATAGCGGTTGTAGCGACCACGGGCGCGTTGGCGCTGCGGAGTGGCCTTGGGTCCGGCGGCAGCGCGAGCGGGAGTTGCCTTCTTGGCCGGCGATGGCGATGCATCCGGCGTCGCCGCCGCTGCAGCAGCGGGCGTTGCAGCAGCAGCCGGAGCAGCTGCCTTGGCCGGAGTCTTGGCTGGGGTCTTGGCAACGGGAGCCGCTGCTTCAACGGGAGCCGCCGCCTTGGCTGGAGATGGCTCCGGTTCGGGCTCCGGCTCAGCCTCCTGCTCCTGCTCATCCTGGGCCTCCATCTCCTCCTCCCCGTTATCCTGGCCGGCGCCGCCTTCTTCGCCCTCACCCTCGCCCTCGACCTCCTCGTCGCCCTCGCCCTCTCCCTCGGCATTGTCCTCCACCATCTCGACATCGTCGTCATCGCCGGTGGCCTCCGATGGATCGTACAGCTCACCCTCGGCTCCCTCGGTGGCTTCCTCGGCGGCGCCCTCGGTGGCCGGAGCCTCTGACTCCTCCACCTTGCGCTTCTTGCGCTCATTCTCCTCCAGCGCGGCAGCAGCACGCTTCTGGGCGATCTTGGTGTCGCTCGACTTCTCGTTGATGAACTTCAAGAAGTTGCGGTGATGGGTGGCCGTGCGCGAGTGAATCTCGGCGGTCACTTCGGTGTCGAAGAACTTCGAGCACACCGAGCACTCGTAGCACTCTAGCTTGGAGATCAGGCCGGGACCGACGGCACGCTGCCAGTTGTACTTGGGCAGGCGGGTGTCCACCTCGCTGGGAATCTCGTCGCCGTCGGTGAAGTCAAGGATGCAGTCCTCGGGATCCACGGGCAGGGCCACCTCCTCCTCCTCCTGGCTCTCGTTGAGCTCCTCGCCCTCCTTGGTCTCGTCGGCGTTTTCCTCGCCCTCCTTGGCCTCATCGCCCTCGGCTTCATCGCCCTCCGCGGCCTCACCATCGCCGGCTCCCTCCTTCTTGCCCTCGCCATCGGCGGCCGCGTCGCCCTCCTTCTTGGCCGGCTTCTTCTTGCGCTTCTGGGGCAGACGAAGATCGCGGGTCTCCTCCTCCTCGGTGCTGATGGGCAGGGTCTGGCGCTTGCGCTCTCCCACCTTCGTGTTGCTCTCGGCGGCCTTCTTCAGATGCTCGGCGGACAGCAAATGTGTGTCGTAGTCGATGCGAGTGGCGAACTCCTTGTTGCACTCAATGCACTTGGGATGCAGGAACTTCTTCAGCTGCAAATGCCCCTCCGACTTGCGATGGGTCGAGATGTGACCGTGGAAGTTCAAGTCGCACATGGTGCAGTAGTCCAACTGGCGCTGCTTGCTCTTGCCCATGCGCTTCAAACGGTCGAACTCGATGGATTTAAGCTGCTCGGCGATCTTGGCCTCCTGGCGGATCATGTTGGCCTTGAGGCGATAGCTCTCCTCGATACCCTCGCGCATCATCAGATGGGTGCGTCCCTTGATGTGGTTCTCAAACGAGTTGGCGTCCCACATGTGCTTCTTGCACAGATGACAGTAGAACATGTCGTTCGGCACACTAGCGTAGGGCGACTCCTTGGTGGGGCTATAGAGTTCGATCAGAGATCATTGGTTTTTTTTTTGGGGAAGGAATAAAGAAAGGTAAATTCATTAGTTGTGAAATATATAAGGTGTATAGACGGGGAGGCGTCTGGTCTGGCTCTAGGGAAGAGAATACAATATTAGAGGTAGGTAGAGAATGATTCTCGCTGCAATTTATACTTATGATACGTACATTACAGGTGGCGATAGGTGAGTCATACAATAGTTAATATCTTTAGCTATGTTTTTGATGCGTTTTGAAAGTGAATATGAATGATTTGCCAAAAAGGAATATGCCATAAATTTAACGAGTGACAAAAGTTGTCGCGTATTAGTCTCAACTATTTAAGCAATTTATTTAAAATGTTATTACAAAGAAATTTCAAAATATTTACAGCATATTTCTTTTTGTACTTATATCTTAAAATCATGATTATAGTTTCTTTAGGTTATTTAAAATATGAGTTGATGATATATTTAGAAATTAAAAAGGAGAGATAATTAAAAAAATTTTTAAAGCTCCACATAATTATTGCGGAGATATTAAATTCATCGAGAATTCAATTTTTCCAGATGAACATTAGTTAATTATCATAAAACTCCATTGCTTCTCTCCTTTTTAACTTAAAAAACTTCAAAAATAAACTTAGATTGTACACAAAACGCAAAATAGTAAAGCCCAATCTTACATATTAAAATCTATTTTTTTTGAAATAAATATATATTTAAAAAAAAATTGTATAGATTTGGGTAATATTTACAACTATAGATTTTCGATTCCCTACCCAAATGGGCGTGGCCCGCCCACATTAACCACATACACACAGAAATATAAACAGCATCAAAAAAGGTAATATCCCTAATGAAGGACTAATTCTAATTAAATATACTTTTTAGAGATGTATGAGGAAACGCAATTAGAGAATTTGAATGCCTAAGTACTTAAGTAGTAAAACGGTTTATATAATATATTTGCGCTGCTGAGTTCGTTTTTTTTGTTTTGGTTTTGGTTTTAGTGAAAGAAATCAATCCTTTCGATTGGTGGGCAGCAAAAAAATGTATTCTTTTTGTTGTGGTTTTTGGTTTTTTTTGGAAAAGTTGTAGTAAGTCTTACCTCTCGATTTTCTTTTCGCCAGGAGTGGGTTCCTTCTTTTTATTTTGGTTGGCATTTTTAGCCAAAAGTTTCTTGGCACGATCAAAAGCATTTTGCTTGCGAATACCGCCGCCGCCCTGCTTTTGCGGGGGCTTGGGTCCACTACCAGTGGCGCCACGATTTTGGAAGCCACCTCCCTGGCCACGACGGTTATTGAGACGATTGCCGGCACCGCCGCCGCGACTGACCATCTATATATTGTTTAGTTTATCATTTAGGATTAACAATAACATTTTATCACAATTCCGAATGCACGAATGCACACATGGGGCATATATGTGAATTGATTTCGTTTTGATTTACAAACAGAGACAATATTCATAGAGCATATTTCCGAAAGATCAGAGACAATATGGCGCGGTTGGCCATTTACAATGTTTTTGTGGGGGGCGGAGCAATCAAATTGAACAGATAATTGATAATTGCGGGTATAGGATAAATCGTTACAGAGATGTTTGATATATAGTTAAATATATATAAATGTAGTGGCACATAGAGCACATGGGTATATATTTTGGTCATTTCGGTCAGATCGACGGGGCAGTTGCGGCGGCCAATCAGTCGACGGGGATAGTTGAATATATATTGCATATATATATTTATTCGTTGGCGTGTGGCGGCGGGTGGCATTTGAAAATGGAAATCGGATTTTGATTTTTGATTTTTGAGTTTCAGAGGCAGGAACGTCGAAGAAGAATTGGCGATGAATTTGCATTAGACATTAGATATTAATAGGTATTACATATTTTGCATGGTTTTTTTTTTTGGATGTAATTATGTTGCACCATCAAGCAGTACCAGTACCAGATCGGATCAGTTTCGGTTTCAGAGCAGAGCAGATTAGAAGATTGCAATGCGATCAATATATCAATCGATCGAGCAATCGGTCAATCAATCAGTGGCGTCGCACGGGAAGCATCATATAGTATAGAGTATCGCATCGTTGGTGGAGATTCGCATATTGGCCACATTGTGTGTGCATCGCGCGTGTGTGTGTGTTGAGTGTGTGCGCGTTGCATTTTATATTTTTCAATTTTATTTTGTTTTTCGAAAATATTGTTGGCCGTCAATGGAATTCATTTTTTGGTTGGGAAATTGATTTTCGTCGATTGCAATAGAAATAGCAATTGCAAATGGGAAAAGGCAACATCAACGGCAACAACAA